CAGTATGTGGGAAGCTCCTGAGAGCACCACATTGAAGTGATTCAGGGTTAAAATATTGGGAGCTTAATGTACAGGTTTCGTGTGTTTCTGCTTCTCAGCTTTGTGGTGAGGGAGAGAAAGAGGAGGGAAGAAATCCTGTCTATAAAGCGTTGCTCTGTCAGTCAGGTTTTTTGCTCAAGACATTCATTTTAAAAAGTTATTTAAACTATATGTAGTCAAGGGCAAATAGGAATAAATTACTGACAGAGCAATTAATCTTTCCGAAGCATGATGCTAGCAGAGTGGCTTAGGGGGCACAATTGCACTGGGAAAAGCTTTTCAAACAAATGTAATATGAGTGGAAGTTGACTGCGAGATAATTTCAGAGGTCTGCTTTCGTTTTAATGTAACCTAGGTTATTTGCCTGTAGTGGGTTTTCTTCTGCATTTCCCTCCAAACTTTTCAAAAAGTTAAACTAATTGCTAGGTAGCGTGCTCAATATAGTCAGGGAGATAAGCAAGGAGCCTTCCTTACTGTTAGCTAACTTCAATAATCAGCTAAATATACTTTATCTGTGTCACAAGTTTTTTCCAAGGATCATCTAGCATGACTTAAATAACTTAAAAAGAGAAAAAGCCCTTAAAGTTTATCATTATACAAACTTATTCTCATGAAGTTATTCTCATGCCCACTTAGGATTCCTGCTTCAGTGTTGAAACGATCTTCCATAATCAGGCGCTTACAGAAAGGGAATGTTGAATAAGATTAGCAACATAAATCTCTGTGGCATCGTAAGTTTTACCCAGCTGCTTGGTGATTTCACAGCTGTTTCTGCAGTTGATAACAATTTCCATCACTCTGCTTTCTGCAGAGCTGTCACACTGCTCTGCTGCAGATTCTGCCTTGTCCCTGTTTGAGTTATGAATCTTGTTTAAAAAAATCCAATAAAATAAATGACCAATAGTAAATATAATGGACTTACATTTCATACAGTGAGCTCTTGGACTCAGTTTGCTTGCCTTTTTCCTTTTTTTTTTTTTTTTTTTTTCCCCTGAGATGAGTTCTTGGGGTTATGTTACTCAGGTTTTTTAATTGTAGAATAGATTTAAGAGATGTTTCTCCTGGGAAGCATGTTGTCACTGTCAGTTTACAGCTAGGAAAACCTAGGCACAAGGAGATGCAGTGATTTGCTCAAACAAACTGCTCAAAGAGACAAAACCCCAAGTATTCCGAGTTGTGATTCACATAGGTGAAGTGAGCAATAGAAATTAAGTTAAATGAGATTTTTTAAACTACAGAAATTAATGTGCATTGCTTTTTCCTGCCTAGATTTTTCTGAGGGACTTGCCTGGGTTGTGGCACTCGTCATCGAGACATCACATCATCAAAGGAGATTGTTACATAGGGCCAGAAATGGGTGGCTGCTGCCAAGAAAAGAGGCAGAAACCACTAGGAGAGCCAGAGGGAGAACATCTCCTGCTTCGTTTAGGTTCGGAGTAGGGGTCAGTGTACAGCGGGAGATTTTCCATGCAGGAGTTTTGTTCTTAAGAATCTGATAAATATCCCACAACTTTTCTTGTAGGAAACTTCCATGCTAGAATATTGTCACCTCCAGTTCATCATTCAGCAAACATCTGACACTTCAAAGCCTGGAGCAGCTCTTACTGCTGCATGACTCTGCTGTGAATTGACATATGAGACATCTCAAACAGTCTTCCTCTGCTTACTGAGCCAAGGGATTTGTTACGATGGATTTCTCACTGACCTGGTAGGTGTGCATGCTGGTGGATTTCGTGTCTTTTCAGTAAATCTCAACTTACACTTATTAGTGGGTAAATCATTTCTCTCCCCTGTATCCAGTGGTAGCCAGAGATTGCCACAGGAACACATTCTTCCTCCAAGTCAAAGTAGCTCCTTAAGGAAGTACTTCTGGTATGATTATTGAGAGGATGCTGGTGTTGCTGGGTATCTTTGCCTAAATTTCTTACCCTGAAACTTGAACCAAGTCACCTGTTGGCGTAAGTCAGCAGTGACTTTGCTGGCAATGAGGATCTAGTGCCCTGTTTTCTAGGGGCGAATAATACCTTTACTCACACTTCAAATAGATTCTGTTGTTTATTTAACTTACAGTATTTCAAAAGAGGTTTGTTTATTTGTTTTATATGAATGCCTGTCTACTTACATCATATTACAGGCAAGAACTGTGCTCCTCAGAAGTCAGCAGGTATTTTACCATTGACTTTACTTTGGTACTTTAGGAGATTAAAATAAATCATGTTAGTTTTGATGGTATAAACATATCTTCTTCATAAATCTCTGTACAAGACGTCTAAGAGATTTAATGCTCATTGGGGATGTATCTGAAGCAGAGGGACAAGGATGCTAGAGACAGGAGTATATATACCTTGATTGAATGTTTTCAGAATAATCATGTTCATTATGAGCCCAATCCAAAGCCTTTTATATTTATTGTGAAGTTTCCCTATTTCTGTGACTGTTAGAGACTGAGTATATGGACTTTTGAATAGTTATTACAATGTACTCGGAACTAAGAGACCTTTTATATGGAAAATGGTTAATTTTTTTCCTCCCTCAAGTTTAATAATAAAAGATGGAACAAATCGAATTTGGCTAATGGTAAGATCAAAAAAAGGACATTTGGGGACCACATTCTCCTGATGTGCTGAACTTCTGTAATGTTTTATGGATAAGTAATGCAGCAACATAATGGCACCAGTGTGAGACTCACTGCCATATAAGTCATTATTGAAAATGCAGAACTTGGGCTCAGATCCATGTGAGGACAGGTTGATGGCACTCTAGAGTAACCCTATGGCTTTCCTGGGCTCTTTCAACTGATATAAAAGGTGCTTAATCATGTGTTGTGAGTTGAAGGACAAAGCAACAGAACCTGGGAGAACCTAGGATGCTTAAGATGTCAGCACAGATACATTTGCTTTGTCTCATAAGCACTGATCAGATCCTCTTCCTGCCCTTGGACTGCCCTGTCAGCTGCCTTGACAGAAGCACACAGAATCATGGAATGGTTGTGGTCGGAAGGGACCTCTGGAGGTCATCTGGTCCACCCCTCATCCCACTCAAGGAGGGTCACCTAAAGAAGTCTGCCCAGGACCATCCAGATGGCTTTTGAATATCTCCAAAGACGGAGACTCCAAAACCTCCCTGGGCAACCTGTTCCAGTGCTCAGTCACCCTCACAGTTTAAAAGTGTTTCCTGATGTTCAGACAGAACCTCCTGTATTTCGGTTTGTGCCCATTGCCTCTTGTGCTGTCAGTGTGTATGCTCAGCATGCACTCGGTTGTATTGTGCTCAGCGTTGTCATTAGGGAGGGAAAGGCTACTCTGTCTTGTAGCTGCTGAGCCCCTTGCAGGATTGAGCCCTCAAGGTAGCTGTGTGCTCTTCCTTAGATCAATAGAACAAAAACTTTGTTAAACCAGATCTGAACTTTTCTTCTCTCATTAGGGTTTAAGGAAGCTGGGATAGCAACTCTCTGACTAGTTACAGAGTATAGCCTGTTTGTGTGTGTGTTTAAAAACGGTGAAATTCTCTTTCTTGCAAAATACACATGAGGTACTGAGATACAAAACCAAGGGCTCTCCACAATGGATGAATATATCTTAGCAACAAGGGTGGGAGTGGTGGGAAAGGAAAAGGAGAATACAAGTATCTGGCAATTAACTTCCTAGTCACAGATGTGAAGTTGATAAAAGTGATAAAAGCTTTACTGCATTGCCAACACTCTTCCTTCTTCTCTGAGCTGCATACCATGCTGCTCGTAGGAGCAAAAGCTACACAGCTCATACCCGGAGAGTGGTGGAGGAGTCCTGTTATCTACTCCCACCAGGAAAATCCAGTGGTTCCCCAGTGTCCCAGCCTCTGTTGTATGTGGTGGGGAGCACCAAGCGCACAACCTGGCCCAAGGCAGCAGAGCCGTGGTAACCACAGCGTTGTCAGAGGCTCACTGCAGACTCCAGGGCAGTCCCCCACCAGCAGAGTCCCAGTGAGATGGCTGAGGTCTGTCATGGCACCCTGTAGCAGTGGAAAGCCACGGGCTCGTCTTGCCCTGATCAGGTGGATGCCAGTTTCTGCACTGGGCTCCATGGAGCCAAAAGCTGTTTTCCCTCATGACACAGATACAATCAAACTGTGTGTGCTGTCTGTAGGACTGAGAGTGTGGATACAGTATGGAGACAGGAGGAAAGCAACCTCCTGTAACTAAGATGAGTGAATATGACTGTCAGTCTCCCCCCACACAGTAACACGGATGTGGTTTCATGGACTTCTAAGGGACCCGTTACGTTTGCATTAAGGCAATTTAAACGGCAAGCTGACAGTCTGGCGTTGATGTTACTGTAACAGTAGATTCACCAGCTTTCAGCTGGAGTGTGCTGAGTGCAGGGAGCTGTCGTCATCCCCATTCCCCATACCTAGTCATGACCACTTGAATTTTTTTGCTAAGTAGCACTTGCCTCGACAAAGGCTTCACTGTTCAGTCCTGATTTTTGCTGGGCCAGTTCTTGTCCATGTTATTGTGATGTGCATTGGAGCAAGTGTGTGTGTATAGCTGTGCATGTAAAGAAACAGTGTGAAAAAGTGTGTGAGCAGGAGGACAGTGTTTAACCAAAACAGCCTATGAACTTTGCCTCCTTGTCAGAAGATGTAATGCCACTGAAACCTGAATTACATTCAGAAATACTGATTTTAGGATGTAACTTTAAGTGGGATTTGGCCCACAACACTTTAAGGTTGGTATCTGTCCTGGTCTGTGACTCTTTTATTTCTAGCACTTGTGCACGTGTTGATGAGTACCGTAACAATTGATTCAGATCCACCACAATCAGTAGTGTTACAATTAAGCTTGTGCATAAATCCTTGCAGGGTCAGAGTGTCTACTTGTTTGTTATCCCAAGTGCAATACTTCTGTGTCACCCATTTGTCACATAATGGTAACGCTTCTTAGTTGAACTCATGCTCTTCTCTCCACAGTGCAATGTGTGTTCAGCAGAGCCTGCTCTAGCCTAAGAATTGACAAAGTCAAGACAATCAAGATGACAAACGAACCGATTAAAGAGATCCTGGCCACTCCAAAGCATCCTGATTTTGTAACCACGGAGAAGAGTAATAACAATGACTGTGTGATAACCACCATCCCTCTGGTCAGTGAATGCCAGCTGACTGCAGCAACAGGGGGAGCTGAACTCTCCTGTTACCGCTGTACCATTCCCTTCGGCGTGGTTATCCTCATAGCTGGCATTGTGGTTACTGCTGTGGCATACAGCTTCAATTCCCATGGATCAATCATCTCTGTGTTTGGATTAGTCCTCTTGTCATCAGGACTCCTTTTGCTGGCTTCTAGTGCAGTGTGCTGGAAAATTAGGCAGCAAAACAAGAAAGCAAAGAGGCGGGAGAGCCAGACAGCGCTTGTGGCAAATCAGCGAACCTTGTTTGGTTAAAGACAACAAAGAGGAGGCTGGACGGAAGACAGAACCTTTGTAAGTCAACTTGACTGTTTATCAGTAGGAGAGATTGCAAGTTTTAATTTAACTTTGGAAATGAACTGAAATGAAAATGGAATGGATTAAGAAAGACGCTTAAGAACTCTGCAAGTGCTCTTAATATTTTTCCTACTGCAGGCTTGGTAGTGATTCTTTCCAAGACGGAGGAAAAAACACTTTTCCTTCACAGAGAACAGTATCGTCATAACTGCAGTCATCATAACTGCATTCTCCAACATGCTGATCATGTTGGAAAGGGAACTTGTGGGAACTAAGAAAATAATTCGAACTGACTTGAAATGCCAGAGATCTCCTTAAAATACACACTGTGACATTTGACTAAGGGAGAAGTCATAGCATTTGAAGTGACTACAAGCTAATGGCCAGATTGCCTGTGACTTAAACTGTAGCTGAAAAACAAAACAAAAGCAATAACAACCAAACACACTGCAGATTGCTCAATAAGCTGATTCTTACATTTTATGTAACTTTCCCTGCCCAATATCTGTGGTACTTTCCCCCTTTTTTTTAAACCAACTAATATTAATTTTGTTTTACTATTGAATAGAAATAGGTAGAAATGTATAATTATATTGTCTAACCTAAATAATGAGGTATGATTATAGCTTAAAACATGAGACTTTTTTTGTAAATTAATGTGGTCAGGTTTAGCACTTTTGATAATTTGCTATAAAATTAAAAAGTAAATGTCATTAAAATAATATTCAGTGCTGCTAGACCTCTAGAATTTTTTATTGCTATTAAGATAGCTTGTTTCTTCAACTTTGACTGCCTTATAATTCTATTTGTGTAGAACAACACCTGTGACAATAACTGTGAACATACCTACTGCTGATCCCCCAAAAATCTCTGTAGACTATGCATTTTGGTTTGATAGCCCATCTTGCAGCTTGATTAACAACTCAGTTATTGAAAAATCATAATGGTCAGTTCCACAGACACTTACTGGCATAGTCAGTTTTAGACACAACTATTAATAATTATGTCTGGAAGCAAAGTCTTCTGTGTAGTAAGTGTTTGCTGCATGAGTTTTGGGATCACAAATCTGTATGAAAACCAGGTGCCAGGTGTCCTCTGTGTGTGTCTGAGATGTTTCATTCTGTAACTCTTGTGTTCCAGAGGTCTTCCAGCTTTTCTTGAGTAATTGAGGATCTGGTCCCAAATGGAAGCAAACCAGCACGTTATTTCTTTATCTATATCTTGAAGGACAAGTGGTGCTGAGCCAAGTCACAGATTTCCACCCCAGAATGTATGAGGGTGTCAGAAGGCAGAGGGGCTGCATAACTCCTCTTTCTTTTTTTTCTTCCTTTCTCTCTCTTTTTTTTTTTCCTTTCCCCTCTTACTTTCTCCAGACTCAAAAGTGCTGGATGTGATTTTTGCTTTCCACTGCCACAGCGAGTGAGGCCTGTGCTAGCGTGCCTCCTCTTTGCCCTCCGGAGCCTCTGACATGTGAGAGGGCTGTGGTGATGCCACTGCAGAGCACACCTGCCAAACAGGTGCCGCAGGGAATAGTCTTCTGCAGGTCATCCCAGAGCCTCACACTTCTCATGCTGACATCATCCAGGCGTTCTGGATTAGGTGCCACCTTTTCCTCTGCTCTCCATGATTTAAGCTTGTTACATCCACAACTTATCCCCGGATTTGCAAAGTGCACTTTGTGTTTTAAATAGAGTAATCTATATGTATGGGAGGGGATGTTTGGAGTCAGTATTTGCGTTGCCACACTCCATGGTTACCAGACGCTATAATAAAATCCCTTGCATCAGAGGAAAGCTGACAACACATTTTAGCACTTCCATAGCCCTACTTAATCATGGCAGGAAGCTTTCCTGCTGCTAGGAGAACATGTTGCGTCACCAGAACATCTGACACCGGTGTCTAATGTCAATCACTTTGCTTAAGGTCATTAAAAATATTAGGGTGTCCCCTTACGATGTACAGGTTTTGCATGAGTGACAATTCATGGGAAACGCATAGCATGATAAATAATGGAACAGGTGGACTAAAGTGGTGTCTTTCCTGTTTAAAATGAGAAAAGTGATTGACATTAACAAAGCTGGATAAGCTAAATAAGGCTGTTTATTCCCGCCCCCTCCCTGGGAGCACAATAGTTTTTCTAACTCCTTCTCCCCCCTCCCCATTTCTTTTTCCGCAGCAGAATTTTGCAAGCTGCGGAGGAGAGAATTGCAGGGGCTGCAGAGATGCAGTGATTTCCACTACACACGTGTAACAGCTCAGCCCCATGATTCCCAGGCTGAGCCCAGTGCAGAAGCAGCCTGTTGCCCTCTTGAGAAGTCTTTTCCATACATGGGTCCACCCTTTGTGTACAGGCAAACTTGCATGCAGCATGTGGAAAGAAAGTAGAGGTGCAAGGTGAGGCTCTGCTCCAAGTCAAAAGAAAAGGACAAACTGAGTGGAATGGAGGCAGTGGGGGTTTGGGAGCAGTTTTTTCAAGAAGGGTAAATAAGACTGGGTAAGAGTTGCTCTGCTACTACTAGAGATATTTCCTTTCCCTTATCTCTTTCTCTTTTGTATTTGCACTGCATATACAAGGACAGAGCAGAGTGCCTGCACCACCCTCTGTCTTGCTGATTGTGGGGCATCTAGGCACTAAGAAGCATGTAAGCAGTGACAGACAGCACTGCAATGACCCTAGGCATGATCCCCTAGCATAGCAAGGCTTCAGATACACCATAGTGTCCCATAATACTGGCTAACGGACAGGCTGAGCGGCCTCTGCCATATCACACACTGCTGAGCTCAGTAGCATCAGCTGAATCCTGGTGAGACAAGGTACATGCACAAGCATCTTCATATCAAGCAGCGATAAAAGGCTGTACAGGAATTCACTCATTTGTCCTTTATTCAGAGAAGCAAAGTGGTAACTTAATGGGGAAGAATCCCAGCACCTGGCCCTGGTGCCCTGCAGGAGCGAGGCAGAGGTTGTGAACAGTTTAGTCAGAGACCTCATGCTGTTGAAGATCTTTTCACGTTTTATCACTAAATTGTCACGTGGCCTTAGAACCTGGCACAGACTTTTCCACCATGATTTATGTGCATTGATTCTGGGACAATCTGAAGTAGTAGTGGCATCTTTTCTGAGTGACCAATGATGACATCCAGCACAAGTCTCATAGTCTGTATTTTTTCTTCCTGCAAATATACATATTACAGACTTTAATTACTATCCTTTCTCTCCCTGCACTCCTTGTCCTGGTTCCCACACAATACATTCTTTTTAGCCCTTAAAAAACAATCATTATGGGAGAGGTGCTATGCGAGTACAGTGTGGCAGGCTTAACAAATTCATTTTTCCAGAAACTGGTCATATTGTTAGATCAGAAATGGTTTTTACCAGGGCAGATTTTGAATGCTTTTACAAAGGTCAACGCTCTCAAACTGGTCAGCTACAAACAGCAAAATTTCTGCTTAAGGTTTTGAACCCCATGACCTAATCTGGATTGATTTGGGGCTTCATGCCTGGATGCTGGGTCAGGCAATCCACCAAGTCTTTGATACAAAGTGATTTGGAACTCCACGATTGCTGTTTGGTGTTTCTCTTGGGAACCTGAGAGACAAAAGTCAGCCTGGAGGATGCAACCCTGTGGACATCACAATGACTTTCCAGTTCAGAAACACCTTCCCTTCTGATGTGAAAAGGCTTTGAATGCGACAAATGGTATTTCGGTTCTGGGAGAGGTTGGGTGGGAGCTGATGCAAATTTTATTGTCCAATTGCTTGTCTCTCCCTTCCTGAAAGCTCTGGCAGCAATGCACAAGCAAAATTGCCCTCGCAAGGATAGAAAATTATCTAATAGGGGAATTGCGCTGGTGCACCGGGCAAATGTTACGGGGATCTTAAATAATAATTTCAAAACCTAAGCACAGGAAATTGTGTCTGTAACTACACCCTGTATTGCTATTGTACACAAAGCCAGTTACAGCCTGGGACAGTATTTTAAAATAATAATCAGTTTGGTATGACAATGCTTAGTATTTGTTCAAGTCAAAACTCCCAATTTACGATTCCCCAGTCACTTAACATGTCAGGTTTTGTACGTGACTGTGGTTCTAATACCATAATTTGCCAGGTCTAAAAAAAAAAAAAAAAGACCAAGAGAAAAGTTTGTTTCATGGTCTTATGTCAAGAATTAAGTTTCTCTGCCCTGGACACTTGGGAAAGTTCCTGTTACTGAACAACGAATGTACAATGTTACCAGAGCTCTACAGAACAGGAACCAGACTTAGAGTATGGAACGAAGAAAGGCCTGAGAATCTCATCAGCATCTGGAAGGGTCCGGCCAGGAACAGGCCTTCTGGAATACCCCATATTCTTGCCTCAGCTTTGCTTATCCAGAGTTGAAGTCCAGGGCTACCAATCCTTTATTATCTGAGGTGGAGGTTGTTGCATACTATTAACAGGTTTCAACTAATTTATTTTTATAATGGTCTCCAAAATAAGAAGGGCAGAACAATATTGGCAGCCATAATTTTTCATATATATTTCCAATACCTCTGATGCCTTTAGATTCTAGGACATTTTACCTATATCAGTATAAATCATTGTCAATTAAAAAGGGTTTTTATACATGAAAGTACATTAACATATCAAGAACTGCAGTATATGATGTGAAAAATTGTATAAATCCTGGCAAAACTCTATATGTAGACTAAATCTTACAGGCTAAACCATATGGGAGAACAATGGTCTTAAACTGCAGAATCAACTTGAATTTTTGGCTTTTATTCAGGTTGTTGATGTCACTATTAACATGACAGAGGACCTAATCCTTCCTCTTGTGAGCAGCCAGTTGGAGTCCTATTGTCCTAACTCATACATCCAAAAATTAGCATTTGTGGCAAACATGGCATTTTTGAAAAACCCTTTTTTTTGATCTATTGCTTTCACTTCTTAACTCTTCTGTGATTTCTAGAGTAAGAGAAAAACTATTAAACTTTAAAAACAGAAAGAAAAAGAAGAAAGAAAGAACACACAACAGCAGATGTTGAACACTGCATAAAGTCATGAAGGGGTAGTAGAGCTTTACACAAGTGCCTTGTTGAAAGACAGAGACTTTAAAAAATATATAAGTCTTGTTTTTGTTACGTCCTTGGCTGTACCCTCAGTTTTGTTCTTATAAAATGCCTGACGTCCCCAGGTTAACATCAGTCTTAGCTCTCACTTCATATTTATTCTACTTTTCTGTTTTCCAGAAACCAGTTAGCTCAGCAAAAAGCAGGGATTTAATTTCTTACCATCTTTTGCAATCTGACTGAAATTACATGGCCATTTGGGATTTGCAGGGGCAGTGCCCCCGTGGTTTTGTAAGTTATAAGGCATTCAGCTACAGTCTGCTGCTGAAGAGGTAGTCACTATATAGAGGTA